CCAAACCCACCCAAAAAGCTGGGGAATGGGAAGCCACAGATGACAGCCTGAGGAGTCTTGTGGAACCCTAATCCAAACCTCTGCTTGTCCGGTTGTCTCAGACACCAGCGAGGCGCCTCGCAGTTCCTCTGGTGAATGCTGCACTTGGCTGCACGCTAGCAATCATCAGCAGGAATTCCAACAACTTCAGTCAAACAGCTCAAGTCCAAGCTGGAGGGACTGCCTTTAGGAAGAGACAGGCACTGCTCCAAACACTAAAAGGACTGAAATTGCAACTCTCAGTTGCAAACAGTGCGCCCCTAAATGGCTGTGATCACCAACACTGATCTCTCTCTCTCTCTCTCTGTCTTTAAATTGCAGAGACGGTCGCAAGCCTCTTCTTCAAAGGCCCTCCTACCTGCTCGCTTTGCTTCAATGCAGGCAACATTCATTTCCTCTTTCAGCTCCTGGTTTTCATTGGCGATCGCTTCTCCCACTGTGACAAATCTCCCGACCGCCAGGTTGACAGCTTGGCCCACTTGCTGGATCGCTTTCAGAGTCTTGTCTGACCGCTTCGGTTTGTCCTTATGGTTGATGAGAGTGGTTATCTGTGCACACAAGATACGGAGCCAGTTAGACACCCAAGCAGCACTCTTAGCATCAGGCGCACCCAAGGAGTTCCATTCAAGACTGCATTCAGAAAGGGGGGGGGAGAGATAATTAAAACGATTTCCTTTCACAAGGCAGGTCCCTGCCTGAAGGTTCACCCTACAACAGATCTGTTCAGTCTGTCGCCTGCCAAAGCAGTCTGGCTACAATCAACTAAGGCCAGAGCCATACGCTTGTCCAAGGGCCGACTCTCTTCAGACAGCAAAAGACTGCGCTTGTGCCTTTCCCATTCAACAACAGGTGTGTGTGAGAGTAGGGTTGCCAGCCTCCAGGTGGGGCCTGGAGGTTTCCTAGGACTACAGCTGACCTCCGAGTGACCAAGACCCCTTCCCTCGGAGAAAACGGCTGCTTTCGAGGTGGTCCTTCCTCTCCCCGGGCCCCACCCCCCAAATCTGCCCGGGTCTCCCAGCCCGGAGCAGGCAGTCTTGCCTGGAAAGCAGGGCACGCCACACGGAGGAGGCCCGACGGAGCACCAGATTCACCCCTCAAGCCACACACTCCCACGCGGAACACCCGCCTCTCACACATCCCGCAAGAGAGTTCCACCAGAGTGCGCGGCAGGGGGACGCCCCCCACGCCTGCTACTCCAGGGCAGAAAGAGGGCTGCCAGCACAGCAAGACAGGCGCAGGCCTCAAACAGGCAGGCGGCACCACTCGATGGACAAGATTCCGTCCTAAAGAGCAGGACTAATTCCTCAAATGCCCTTAAGAGACTCTGGTGCCTAATTCCTCAAATGCCCTTAAGAGACTCTGTTTGATGCTGGCTCGGTTCTACCAGCACAGGCCTTTGGCAGAAAAAGACTCCCCCACCC